GCATATCTGAGCATATTTTCATTATATTGTCCATTTCATTCCATCTCTTTTTTTTTTTTTGTATTGTGGATTGAAACAAGGGTACTCTACCCTGAGCTATATCCTCAGCCCTTTTTATTTTATTTTGTGACAGGGTCTCACTAAGCTGCTGAGACTGACCTCAAACTTGTCATCCCCCTGTTTCAGCTTTCTGCGTTGCTGGGATTACAGGTGTGCACCACTGTGCCTGGCTCATATTTTATTTTAAAGTGACTGTTCTGAATCTTGGGCTCCTGCTTTTCTTAACATATGGTTCTTTCTGTCATAGTGGCCCAGCTGTTCACCTCTTCTCCCAGCCCACAAATGAGGCATGGCCTGTGTTTTTTTCATGAAAATGATTAAATACAACTTTGTGTTATAGGTGCCCTAGGACCTGGAATTCCCCACATCATCAATACCAAACTGCTGAAGCACTTTACCTGCTTGACTTACAACAATGGCAGGTCAGGAAAGTTGATTTTGGGGATTTTTGCCTGTGAAGAAGAAAGCAGGTGGGGTATGTGAGTGAGGAGTAGGGGCTTGGGTTCAAGCCAAGTTCATAAAGATGCAGTGCTAAGAGATTGCTGCCATTTGGTGGGTTTCTGGTATCAATTAAGTTGAGGACGTGTGTGTGTGTGTGTGTGTGTGTATCTCCCCTATGGAAAAGTTCACTTTATTTTTCATGAATATTTTCTCTCTCTCTTTTTTTTCCCCGTGTAGTGCTGGGGATTGAAGGGCCTTGCACAAACTAGGCAGGTACTCTACTACTGAGCTACATCTGCAGCCCTTTTTGTTTTAAGATAGGATCTCACTGAGTTGTCAAGGCTGTGATCCTTCTGCCTGAGTAGCTGGGATTACAAGCATGTGCTGCTGTGAATACCTTTTATAGATATTAGCCAGGTGTGGTGGCGAATGCCTGTAATCCCAGAGGTTTGGGAGGCTGAGGCAGGAGGATCATAAGTTCAAAACCGGCCTCAGCAACAGCAAGGTGCTTAGCAACTCAGTGAGACACTGTCTCTAAATAAAATACAAAATAAGGCTGGGGATGTGGCTCAGTGGTCGAGTGCCCCTGAGTTAAATCTGCAGTCTACACACACACACACACACACACAAACACACACATACACACACACAAGGCTGCAGAGCTGGGCATGGTGTTGCACCTATAATCCCAGCAGCTTGGGAGACTGAAGTAGGAGAGTCACAAGTTTAAAGCCAGCCTCAGCAACTTAGCAAGACCTTGTCTCAAAACAAAATAAAAGGGGTGGAGGATATGGTTTATTGGTTAAGTGCCCCTGGGTTTAATCCCCGGTACCCCAAAAAGAAAAAAAAATGGCTGTGGAATGCCCTGCAATAGAGACTTACTTTACACACTTCCATCAGGAGCCCTTCCTGATGTCCCACAGAACTAGTGCTGTAGAAAAGGGCAAGCCACCCTGAGGACTCTGGGGAAGGAAGCCCATGCAGCATCCCTGGGTTTCCTTCAGCCATTTGTGTAGTGTTTCCTGCTCCTGAGTGGGCTTGGAAGAAGCAACAGCAACTGAGTTTGGGGTGATTATTATCCTAGCAGCCCTTCTGAGCAGGCAGGGACAGACTTGGAGGGCCCTCACCAGTATGAGACGCTAGCACCCCCGGGGTGCAGGTGCAGCTTTCTCTCTCCTGCTCAGGAGGATGCTCTGGGTTTGACTCTCTGCTTGCTGTGAAGCTCTGGCACTTTGGAAGAAAGAAGAAAGATTGATCCAGTTCCTCCTTTCCCCAGGTTGGGAAGGCATTGAATGCTAAGGATGTTCAGATGTTCTTATTTTGGTTTTGGAATTTAATTTTGTTTCTCCTTTCCTGCCACTGATTTTACAGTTTACGGAACTTCATTTCAAATTCTATGAAGGCGAAGATCACTGCATATGTGATCATACTTGCTTTGCACATAAATGACTTCCAGATTGACCTGACACTGTTACAGAGAGACTTGAAACTCAGTGAAAAAAGGTGAGCACAGCATTTTGAATAAAAAGCTCCTTCTAGGATACTTTGGTATGTCTCTACACCAACATCAAGGGGCAACATCAAGGACCTGGGGTATTTCATATGGGAAGAACTTGGGACCAGAGGATGGTTTTCACCTAGACATTTTGAGTGCCTGTGTTGGCACAGTTTTAAATTCCTTCATGCTGTCTCATTAATTTCCCTAAAAAACAATTGAAGAATCTGCAGTCCAGAGCAGTGACTTCCTCGGGTTCTTCACACCTGTGTCTTGGGCTTCTTCACACCTGAGTCTTGCCATAGCGTCCTGTTTCTGGATTACCAGGCAGCCTCCATTCTCTGAATTCCTGTCACTGGAAGGAGGGGGTACATCCAGGGGTGGAAGTTTCAGAGAACCCACCTTCATCTTAGCAAGCAGAGCTTTCTCAGAGTTTATGGAAGGTCTTCAAGGGAAGGTGAAGCCACTGGTTGGCATGGACACCATATTTAAGCTTCTCTGACTAGATGGGAGTAGGGATGATCTTTCAGGCTCCTTCTAGCCTTGCTAGAGTAGATTCCAACAATAGAGGACAGAGCTTTCCAGGATCCTTTTTTGGTGATCGAGGGGCATTTGACATCAAGGCTCCAGATGGTATTCTAAGCCTGTGATGACACCTCTGTCTACACTTGTCCAGCAGACCATGGAAGGTATTCTGAGGGCTTTCCAAAAATAGCATTGGCACATGCAATGAGGTAGAGAAATAAAACTAGTAGAACTAGGAGTCTGTCAGTTCTAGCAAGTGCTCAGACCTGGTTGCTTTTGTACTTTGGTTATAGGTGGTAAAGACAGTTATTAATAGGGATCTAGAGACCTAGTTTTCCATCACCTGTATGACTGTTTTCTGATGACAACACATTAAAATGAAATTTTCTGATAACTTCGGGGGTGGGGCATCTTGTCTACCTGCTTGGGGCTTGGCCACTTTTGGGATTCTGTCTTTATGGCCTGGAGCATGAATGTGCTACTCCCTCCTGCCAAGCTGTCCTGAACAACCACATTGAGAGCTCTCTCTCCATTTTTCTGCTTGTTTCTTCCTTAGGATGATTGAGATAGCCAAAGCTATGAGGTTGAAGATCTCTAAAAGAAAGGTGTCTCTGGCAGCTGACCAGGAAGAGGATCACAAGCTGGGCACTCTGTCCATCCCACTGCCCCAGGTCTCGGACTACCAGTCAAAACGGAGGAGGATTACCTAGATGTGTGCCTTCTAGACAGCATTTTTGGCCACATCATAGCCACTGCTTCTGTTCACTTCCAGTTTTATTTTTAGGAAGAGGAAAAAAGAAGCCTTGTTTTGGCATGGGATGAAGTCAGCATCCTGGTCATGCCTGGCTTATGCAGAAATATAAAGTGGTTGCTAGATTGGACTCAAATTCCCTCTGGTGTTGCTGTGATGGTGTGTTTCTCATGTTGGTTTACCTTTGTGGGGATTTGAAGGGTGGCATCTAGAAAGTTGGAATCAAAAGATTTTACCAGGCTAAACCCTGAACCAAATCTAATGGATGGAGGTTGATAAAGAATCTGGAGGGGCCAGAGGAGGAGGTGAAGAGGGGAATCCAGCACAGCGGTGACTGAAGTAGAGGCTTCCAGCTTTATCCAGAGAAAACTGTGGGTTGCTAGTGCGGTTGGGTTGCCAGACAGGCTGATTTATAGCCTGCTGTTATAAGGTGGAGCCTAATCAAGAAGTGATAACCCAGGGCTGGGGTTGTGGCTCAGAGGTAGAGCACTCACCTAGCATGTGTGAGGCACTGGGTTCAATCCTCAGCACCACATAAAGTAAAATAAAGACATTGTGTCCACCTATAACTAAAAAAAAAAAAAAAAAGAAGTGATGACCCCAGTTTTTCTGTCTGGCTAAGGCCACAGTGGAGTGGAGGGTAAAACACTCACAGACCACCTGGCACCTTCATCTGCTCCTTGGAGTTTGGCCTTGTCAGATCTATTGGCAATAAAGTTTCTGGGTCCCTGAAGGAGCCGTTGGAAGAGGCTTGTCTGTCCCTTAATCCCAAATGACCCCGAAGGTAAGCAGTTTAATGTAGGAGTACGTGGGAAGCACATTAGGGGTGATGTAGGGTATGTCATGTAATATGATGAAGGTGTTTACAAAAAAACGGTTCTCATTAACTGAAGGACACCGTAACTCCAGTCATAAGGAGATACACAAGAAAGCTCATGCTCCTCTGAGAAGCCCTTCTATGGGAAGCAACTCAAGAAAAAAAGTTCAAAAGACATGAAACCATTCCAAAATGTATCTTGTCCTGAAGAAATATGTAGCCCAAAAGAAAGCAAGTTTCCTAAGAGCTCAGGAGTAGGATGCTAAGAGCTAAACCAAAGCATTTTCAGGGAAGATTATTCAAAGACAAAAAAAAAAAAAAAAAAACCCACAAAAAATAAGTCCTAGATTTTCTTCAGTGGATAGATACGGTAATTTTTTTTTTTTTTTTTTTGTCCAGGGGATTTAACCCAGGACAGTTAACCACTGAGCCATGTCTCCAGCCCTTTATTATATTTTATTTAGAGACAGGTCTCACTGAGTTGCTTAGAGCCTTGCTAAATTGCTGAGGCTGACCTTGAACTCAAGATTGGAATTCTTGCCTCAGCCTCCCAAGCTGCTGGGATTACAAGTATGTGTGATGGCACCCAGCTATAGCAAAAATTTTAAGAGGCTGAGTAACTGAAGTTGGGAAGAAGTGTTTGTGCATCTGAGGACTCTTTGCTGACCATCAAGTGATCTACATGGAGGGCCTATAACTTATCTTCACAAAGCCTTAGGGGACAGGCTGGACTGGAGTAATAACCTGATGGTGACACAGGACACTGCAACTCTGAAAGGCAGTCCTTCCAACAAGCTCCCTGATAAGTGGAGGAAGTACTAGCACCTCTGGGAAGGTCAGGGCCCTGCTGGGCCTTTATCTGGCCTCTGGAATCTCCAGCAAGTGTCTAAACCAAAGAGTCCTCTAATATGCCTCTTTTAAAATATAGAACTTTATTTGGTTACTGAGATTTTCACAAGTTCTTGGTTCACAGAAAAGTCATTTCTTACAAAATAACAAAGGCAGCATTTTGTACAGCGACTCACATTGGGGCCACCAAACAGAAGTGCAAAGGACAGTGCTAGGGATGGGAGGGACCAGCGCTTTTGTGTCTGAAGTCTTCACGGAGAAGCCAGTTCTCCTGGCTCCCTCTACTCCCCTCCCACCCCACCCCACCAGAGCAGCACCTGGGGCCTGACAGAATCAGCCTGGGGAAGTGCTGGACAGTGACCGCAATAGGCTGGTGAAGGCCCTGCTTGAGAGGCTGAGTGGAAGGGGATAGTTGAGGTTGAGCTGGCCCTGCATCTGGACAGCCCCCTCAAACTGTGGGGACCCAGTCCCACTGGCTTTGGAACCCTGATACATTCACAGGACAGTCCAATAAAGCCCTTTGGGAGCTGGCCTTCCTCTCCTCACTCAGGCCACTACCCCCACCCTAGCTCTGGGCTGGGACCTGGGATACAGATGTGGCCTAATAGAGTTCACAGGCAAGTGGGTGGGACAGGGTGTGGACCCAGATATTTGTAAAACAAGGCAAAAAGTGCTCAGTGCCCTGAGGGAACAGCAGAGGGGCAATTGGGGCTCAGACAGGAACAACATTGTCATCTGAGTGAGGGGAGAGCATGTGAAGATGGCAGTGTCTAAGCTAAACCTTGAGGAATGGGTGGGGCAGAGAAGGGCATGCTGGGAAGAGGAACACTGGAGCCAAGGCACAGATTGGGGAACACGGCAAGGCTGGTAAAGGCAGGTGATCACCCATGAGAAGGTGGACATATCCAGGGCCCAGCACCCCGATCTGGACAGGCTGGGGCCTGGAGGGCAGCTGTGGGGGTGCACTCACATGAGGTCTGAACCCTGCAGCAGGCACTGGACTAACATCCTCCTGAGCTTGGGAGCTCCTTGAGGACAGTGGAGCTTCCTGCATCCCTGCACTGCCCAGCCTAACTAGCACCTGCCGCAGGCTCCTGTTTGTAGTATGTCCTTTTGTCATCCCCAGGGCAGCCTTTCATGAGGGACTTCCCATCCCAAGCCCCTTCCTCCCTATAGGGCCACGTCCAAGTCAAAGAGAACTATTCATAAGGAAGCCTCATGAGACAGCTGGGAGGCTGTGGGGGAGACCAGGGGCATGGCAAGTCCAGGAAAGGGGGCAATTCTGGAGCAGCTGTCTCCTTCCCGCCAGAATCACTTCCTCCCTCAGAATTAAATCTCTTCCCTGAGAAGAGTCTGGATTTGGTGTGTGTAAAACAAGGTTCCCTATAACTCAGAGGAATCCTGACTCGAAAGCTTCATGAACTGTGAGTCTCCCCAACTCTGTATAATCTCCACAAGTGCTGGGGTGACTGGAAACCCTCCATTTCTCTTCCTTCCTGAAAAGCATTTTCAAGTTCCTTCCTGCTGAGGCCTGTGGAGCTGAAGGGGTCTGGAGGTACCTTGTTCTTAGTCCCTAGAAGGACTGGGTTGTGGTTTTCCAGGGAACGATGGGAAAGAGGAGGGAAGGGTGGAGTGTTCTCAGGCACTGCTTCCATCCCAGGACCTTTGCCCCAGCTCTTCTGAACGCCTGCAAGGGCCTGAGCCTGAGGCAGATGTCTGTCCTTACAGGATGGTGCAGAAGATGCTGCGGTTGCTGTGGTAGCCCCCTTCCACACGGGCTGTGATCCTGGTTGCCATGGCTGTCACTTTCTGCCCACTATGGGCTGCAGAGGGGCCCCTGAGAGAGTTTTCCAGATGAGGCCGTGCTGGTGGGTTCACCAGGCGCCATGTGTCAGACCTGGATGTACAAAAGGAAAGCCAGTGAACTCTGGGAGGTCTGGGCACTTGCTGAACATTCTCATCTCGGGCTCCAGATCACTGGATCCCCATGTTACAATCCAGGTGTAGGTCAGCTGGGGGCAGAGACGCATGCCTGTAATCCCAGTGGCTCAGGAGGCTGAGGCAGGAGGATCATGAGTTCAAAACCAGCCTCAGCAACTCAGCAAGGCCCTAACCAACTTAGTGAGACCCTGTCTCAAAATACAAAATAAAAGAGAGCTGGGGATGTGGCTCAATTGTTAAGTGCCCCTGGGTTCAATTTCTGGTACCAAAACAAAAACAAAAACAAAACCCAAACAACAACAAAAAATCCGGATGTAGGTTTTGTCTCCTGAGTTAGTGATAACCCAGAGAGGTGGGACATGACATGGAAGAACAAACCTCCTGCATTCTAAGTCCTGCTCTGCCTCTAATTCTATAATTCTGCATGGAACCTTGGGCAAGTTCCCTCCAAAGACCTCAATTTCTCCATATTTAAATAAGGATCTGGAAATGAGATCATTTGATCTCTTTCACTATCCTCTTTCCCCCAGCTATGTGACCATGAATATATATAGAAGTTTTATTCATAACTACCCAAAACTAGCAACTACCGGCCTTTCAGCATATGAATGAGCAAATTTCTACATATATACATGGAAGTTACTCAACAGCAACAAGGAACAAGCCACTCAAAGCAACACCATGGACCTTGAATGGGCTAAGCCAAGTGAAAGAACCAGAGTCAAAAGACTATGTTCTGGACTGGGGTGTCGCTGAGGTTATAGGCCTTCGCCACCACACCTGGCCTATCACTGTTACTTATTTTTTTTTAATTTTGGGACAGGGTCTTACTGAGTCACTTAGGGTCTCATTAAGTTGCTGAGGCTGGCTTTGAACTCATGATCCTTCAGCCTCAGCCTCCCGAGCTGCTGGGATGACAGGCGTGTGCCACTGGGCCTGGCTATCACTGTTATTTATACAACCGTACAGCAAAGCGCTGACCACTCAGAACAGAGGCCATCCATAAACAAGTGAGGCAGCTGTGCTGGTAACTCTGGCCACAGTTCATGGTGAGGTGCTGAGACCTCAGATGCCAAATATAAGATCACTTTAGAAGTGGAATCAAGAGGGGCCTGGTGACTGCCTGAAATTTGGTATTAGGGGAGAGGAGACAAAGAGGCTTGATGAGTGGGAGGCAGTAGTGACACCCAGAGGCACTGAAACAAGGACAGTGGCAGCAGCAGCAACTAGCATTTATATAACACCTCAGATGTTCATCTAGGTCACAAGATTTTATTTTATCCTAAACTGGTGCCACAAAACAGGTATTATTAACTAGATTTTACTAAGGCCTAGCAATGTTAGGTGATCTTCCCAAGGTCACACAATGAGTAATTGAGTAATTGGCAGAACGGAGATTTAAAACCCACATGTTCCCAACTGCTCTTTTTTTTTTTTTTTTTTTCAGTTGCAGTTGGACACAATACTTTGATTTTATTTATTTTTATGTGGTACAGAGGATCGAACCCTGAGTCTTGCACGTGCTGGGTGAGCACTCTACTGCTGAGCCACAACCCCACCCAGCCCTATTCCCAACTCTTAAAAAAGTTTTTCCTGCCAGGCACAGTGGCGCATGCCTGTAATCCCAGTGGCTTGGGAGGCTGAGGCAGGAGGATCACAAGTTCGAAGCCAGCTTTGGCAACTCAGTGAGGCCCTATCTCTAAATAAAATAAAAAATAGGGCTGAGGATGTGGCTCAGTGGTTAAGTGTCCCTGGGTTCAAACCCCAGTACTAAAAAAAAAAAAAAAAGTTTTTTCCCTCACTGGGCAAAATCACAGTGGCACATGCCTATAATCCCAGCAATTTGGAGGAGGACTGCAAGTTTGAGGCCAGCCTCAGCAACTTAGCAAGTCCCTGTCTCAAAATAATCAACAAACAAAACAACACAACAGGCTGGGGATGTAGCTCAGTGGTAAAGTGTCCCTGGGCTAAATAACCAATACCACACACATACACATAAAAAAAAAAAGTCGGGGGCGAGTCCTCAGCTCCGGCCTGTCACAAAGCCTGAGGACAGGCCTTTACCTGACTAGAGCCAACAGCTGGCAGGATGCAGGGAGCAGGGCAGCAGCAATGACTACTGGCCTGGTCTGGCTTCCCCAGCAACTTTGCTGTGGTTCTGGAAGACTAGTTTAGGCAGCCCCAGGCACTTACTTTTTCTTTAAGACCAGGAACTTGTTGTTTTGCATGATGCATTCTCTGTTATTTGAGATCTGCTGAAAGATGGTCTTGTTGCTCTTGCCCTGGAAGATGATGTTCTCCTGTACCAGGGCCTTGGCGCGGCCCCGCACTGCAATGCCGTAGGCTCGGAATGAGTGGATCCGGTTCTTTAGTACCTGAGAGAAGTAGCCAGAGCTTGTCACACCTCAGAGACTCACAGTGGGGGGAACCAGGCAAGCGAATGATCAGTTATAAAACCAAGGGGTACAAAGCTGGGTATAGCGGTGCAGGCTTGTAATCCCAGCTACTCGGGAGGCTAAGACAGAGGGTTGCAAGTTCCAGGACATCCTGAGTAACTTAGTGAGAACTTGTTTCAAAAAATATATATATATTTAAAGGGCTGGGGTGCAGCTCCGTGGTAAAGGAGTTGCCCATCATGAGTGAAGACCCCCATTCCCAACACTGCAAAAGAACAAACCCTTGAGGGGTTTGAGTATGCTAGGTAGGTCAGTACAGATCCACGGGAGCTCAGAAAAGGATATGGAGATCAGCCTGGGGGAACCTGGGAAGGCTTCTTGGAGGCAGTGATAGTCAGTGTGGAGGAGAGGAGAGTTATCCAGGAAGAGGGAACAATGTGCAAAGGCCTGGAAACAGGGGATATTGGTGCCAGAAGCCAGGGCCACTGGCCACCCAACTGAGGCAACAGTGAGCTCCACCTCCCTTCCATCACTCCCACTGACCTCAGATGCAAAGTCAAGGAATTCCTTTTTTTAATATATATATTTATTTTTTAGTTTTCGGTGGACAAAACATCTTTATTTTATTTATTTTTTTATGTGGTGCTGAGGATCGAACCCAGCGCCCCGCGCATGCCAGGCGAGCACACTACCGCTTCAGCCACATCCCCAGCCCAGGAATTCTTTACTCTTTGCTTAAGTCACCAACTCATGGAGCTGCAGAACTGAAAACCACCTTTGGGATTATAATTCTGCAAAGGTAGGGACTGCATTTGTTTAGCCCTACAGGGAAACCCTCGCACTCAGCACAATGCTTTGCATAAAAGTGCTCAGAGTTTACAGACTTGTGGGGAGATAAACAGGTAAAGGAACAGATATGGAGCACTGTGGGTAGTGCTGTGTGAGGCAGGGGTGGGCATAAGTATCACAGAAGTCCAGAAAAGGGGCCCTTCAAAGGCCTGGGGAAATCAGGGAGTCTTCATGAAGAAGGTGACATCTAAGGTGCACAGTTGAGGTAGCACAGAAGGTAGAGGGACTCTCAGTACACAGAGAATAGTGCAATCAAATGCCTGGAGGCAGGATTTCTCTCCTCATTAAGCACCTACTGGATAACAGGATCTGTACAAGATTATTCTGTTAGGGCAGGCGATCTTGATCTGGAGACCATGAAGATACATTGATACCTCAGGAAGCTTCCAACTCCATGAGTACAGGAGATGACATCCCCATTCCTGGCTTTTCTTTATTTTTTAGGTACTGAGGATTTGAGGGAACAACTCAGCTCCTTTTATTTTGAGATAGGGTCTCATTAAGTTGTCCAAGCTGGCCTCAAACTTGTGATCCTCTTACCACAGCCTCCTGAATTCCTGGGATTACAGGTGTGTGTCACTCTGCCCAGTTCATTTCTGGCTTTTTGGGGGGAGGGCAGGAAGGGACCAGGAATTGAACTCAGGGGCACCCGACCACTGAGCCACATCCCCACCTATATTTTTAAAGACAGGGTCTCACTGAGCTGCCTAGCACCTCACTTTTGCTGAGGCTGTCTTTGAACTTGCAATCCTCTTGCCTCAGCCTCCTGCAGCTGGGATTACAGGCATGTGCCACTGTGAGTGGCCATTCCTGGCTTCTTGCAGGTGAATTGTTGTTCCAATGTCTGCTCCTGTGTAAGGCCCAACCACATCTCCCAGGCCCAGTGTGGACAGGAAGGATGATGTTCCTACAGGGCTGAATGCTTGTGGTTCTGCTTCTCAGAGCACAGCATGAGCCAGAGCTGGCCCTGTGTCCCACGGCTGGGCCCTGTGTCAGCACCACACATCACACACATGTGCATCTCCTCACCTTAGTGTCAGACCTGGGGAGCAACTGCAGACCACTGCCCCGGTTGCCAATGATGTCATTTTCAACGACGACAGTGCTGTCGCCCTTAGTGATGATGCCATGGCCTCTGTTGTCATATATACCATTGCCCCGAAGTTCCACCTTGCACTGGGCCTCCACCTTGACCCCACTCTGGCGGTTACAGGAAATGCTGTTGTTGGCCACACGGGTGAGCTGGCCGCTCTGGGCCACAGTGATACCTCTGTCCCCGTTGGCGTGGATCACATTGGTGATGACTTGCAGAGCCTCGCTGCTCTGGACATAGAGTCCTGAAGCTGCAGGCAGAAGGGGAGAAAGCAGGTCAGCCCCGACAACACCCGTCAAGAAAGCCTTCCCTGAACTGGATGCCTCAGGAGAGAGAGTGGGGAAGAGGCAGTGACTCAGAGCTGGCCTCGGGTCTCATCTTCTCAGTGAGGAGAGACAGCAGGAGGAAACCCAGGAGTATCAGAAAAACTCTCCCTGCTGAAGCAAGCCCTCGTGAAAGGCAACCAGGGACACAGGCTAGGAGAAGACTCTTTGGCGCCCCTGGACCTTTAGCCTAAGCTCTCAACCCAGTCTTGAATGCCTCCTACAATAGCATCCTACCACTGTTTGTACCTCCTGTGACAAGGACCTCACTACCTCCTCAAGGCTGCCCATGCCACCTCCAGACAACTCTACCTGCTAGAAAGGCATTTTCTTTCCCATACTGAACTGGAATCTGCCTCTCTATTATTTTGGGACATTTTCTTCATCAGGGACATTCTATAATTTTTGAGTAGAAAAATTTGTCAAGCTAAGTAATATGGGTCTAAAAAAGGTGTTAGATATTTTGGAAAGGAAAAATGGTGCTTGGGGACAGTATGCCCAGAGACACTGTATACATGTAGGACAAAGCCCAGAGCAGGCAGTAGAGCCCCTGTCTTGTCAGGGATAGAGAGCATGGTGCCAGACCTGGTGTGGGGAGGATTCTGTGGCATTACATCTGCCCTCTGATGCAGCAAGAGAGCGGGGGTGGCAGGGTGGGGAGGGTGTGGGGAACAATGACTGGGACCTATGGAAGCAGCTGAGCTGTGAGCCTGTGAGTTTGAACCTCTCAGGGGCATCTACCTGCAGGTTCTCCTGGCTTGGTTGAGAACAGCAAAAATAAGTTGTGAATTATGTGGCTTTGCCTGTCTTGACGGACAGCATGACCACATGGAGGAAACCCTGAGTGAGAGGGGACAGAACTCATTTCCCAGAAAGGTGGGCTGGGGCTGCTTGCTGGCTGTTGCTCTCCTTGTCCTCTGTGACTCCCAGATGAAAGCCAGGGATGGAGTCCTTCCCCACTGGCACCCGTCAGTGATTCTTGCCCTATAAACATGTCATTGGGGATGGGAGGAGACCAAAATTCCAGGGAGAGGATGGACAGATGTGTTCACAGTGTTCAGAAGTTCAAGGTGACTTGGGATGTCTGAATGGGAGAAGGAATTTCAGGCAAGAGGGAAGCTTGTAGGGTAGGAGGTAAAAATGTGGCAGAGAGAAGTAGCTGATGAGGTCACGCTGGGACCAGTCTGCGGAGGGTCCTTAAGAGAGTGAGTTCTGCAGTTGGGGCTGGGGGCACACTCACCTCCGTTGTGATTAATACTGTTGGACTCCACAAGGGCTATAGTGAGGGGCCGCCGCAGTGGATCGTCCTCCTTCTCCAGCTCTGTCTCCCAGAGGATGGCATCCCCGTCCTCGCTGAAGTTCTCTTGGGCCCCATGGCCTCCAGGGAACTCACTGGAGCCATCCTTCTGGCTAAAAACTGCCACTCCATACAGGCCATTATAGCTCACATGGTTGCTGGTGACGTGGGGCAGGCTGGATGACATCATCCACACACCACAGCCCTTGTTAGCTGGGACAGGGAGAAGAGCTGGTTACTGACATGCAGCAACGGGTGACCTAGCACCGTGTCTCCCCAACCGGGACGCAGAAAGGCAGCAGCCTGGAATAAGTCACTTTAGCACCTGAGGCTGTTGGCTTCTCCTTCATACAAGAGGGAGGATAACGACCAGGTCAATCTCAAGCCAGGGTCATTCCATCAGGTATAAAAGTGCTGTCAAGCCACATTGCCAGATCAGGAACAGTGGCAGTGCCAAGCCCTCCCTGTACGGAGGGAGTAGCCCCAGTTTGAATCCCAGCCTTGCCACATCCTAGCTGTGTGACCTTGAGAAAGTTATCAAATCTCTGTGCCTCAGTTTCCTCCTAACTGTACCTTTAGAAGGCAGTCAGGATTAAATGTGATAATACATAGAAAGGAGCCAGCAGAGAGGTGGTCTGAATAAATGCTATCTGTAATTATTACTAGAGAGAGAGTCCAGAAAGATTAAGGCCTTGCCCAAAGCCACAGAGTAAGGAAGAATAATTCTCTCTCTGATTATCCTGTTTTCCCATTATATTTTCAATTTTCTGGAGCAACAGGAGAGTTAGATGTGTTGGAGCTTAAATAGGCAGCCTCTTGGCATAAGCCAGCTCTTGCTTTTACTATTTTACATAGGGAAAAGCCTCTGCTCTGCTGACCTAATGGGCTCAGGGTGTATTATGGGTCATTTACAATAGATACTCTTCATTAAGCGAGGCCTGAGGCAGTTCTTGTTCCTCAGATGAGGTCTCTGAGGCCCAGGGAAGTTGGTGACTTTCTCAGTACCTGTAGGGCTGGAGATGGAATGTGGCTTCCTGTCTCCTTGGTGGGGCTGGACCCCAGAACCAACCCCTGGGAACATGCTCCTCACCATAGATAGTATTTCCTTCTATTAGTCCTTTGCCTTCGTCGCCTACGACCACACCATCTGAGTAGCCAAAGCAGATGAGGTTACTCCTGAGGACGGGGATCCCTCCGCGGCGGATGTCCACACCTCCCCACTGATTCTCACGGATGACATTTTCTATGAAAAGAGGTGTAAAGAAAGTTAAAACCCAAAGGTCACCTGCAGTGCTGGCAATGAGGACTCACATAGCTAAGAGAAAGGACACCCCAGACCATGGTGTCAGCAATCCACACCCCAGAGTTTGTCCACTGCTGTTTCAGGACCTTGTCTGCTTTCCCCAAGGGCAAGGTTTGTGTGTGTGCACTCTCATAGCTCCCACCCACTGTGCCCAGTGGCCTTGAGACCCATGAGTAAGAGCAAGCTGGCTTCCGAACCCCAGAAGTGGAATCCGGCCATTCCTGCTCAGCCTCAGCTCCACTGACTAGACCCTTTTCTCTTCCCAGGAGCTATCCCCTCCTCCAGGAGTGGATTAAGAGGTCCCAAGTCAGAAGGGTGGTCTTGTACATGGCTTCCCAGCAGGGCAGACTCGCAGCCTCCTGGGACTAGGATGCAAGGGCTCTGAAATCCTGTGTGACTGGCCCTGTTCTGTTTCTGTGTCCCCATCTCATGTCTCTCCCCCTTGCTTGCCACACTCCAGTCCTGCAAGTGATCTCTGCTCAGGCGTGCCAAATCTGTTCCCCGGGGTGACCTTGTATGGGGAGTTTTTTTCCCTGGCTCTTTACCACTTTCTGGGTTCTAACTGATGTTTTACCATCTCAGAAAGGCCTGCCCTGACCACACAATTGAGCAACACTTTTATCATCTCATGCCAAGGACCTATAAAGCCCTTATCACCCCAGGCCAGTTTTACTTGTATATGTATGCTTAAACTATTCACTTGCTTTCCCCTCTAAAATGTCAGTTCCTGAGAGCAGGGACAGCATCTATTTCATTCACTGCTGTATCTCCAGCTCCTAGAACAGGGCCTGCACAGTGAGTGCTCATTAAGTGGTGGATGAATGGCAGCTGGATGCAGTCAGGGGATTCCCTGGGCCAAGATCCCAGGCATGACTCACTCTGTGCTGAGCCTCCATCCACGCATCCTGCAGACTTGATCCTGGCCTTGGGGAATATGCTGCCTAACATAAGAGATGGACAAAACAAAGCTCTAAGAAATTAAATAAATGTCCTGCAGAGGAGACATCCTGGGTGCAGTGAGTATCTGTATCTAAGAGGAGGTCAGGGAAGCCTTTCCTGAGAAGGGATGCTGGAGCCAAGACCTAAAGGATGAGCAGGTGTTGGCCAGACAGATTTCCAGAGTAGGTGGAAGCCCATAGGACATCTGACATTGGTGCTTCTGGAAGGACTGTGAGGTACCCATTGAGCTACTGTCAGCTCTGGGCTTGGCAGAGAGCAGACACTCCTTTGGTGCTGTGCCATGCCCATCTCATGAGAAGCCTGGCCAGCATGAAGCCCACGACCCTGTGAGCTTGCATGGAGTGGTGTAAGGTCCTGAAGCTGGTGGGGGTGATACCAGGGGACAGTGGCTTGGCTGTCCATTGTCTTTGCTAGCCATGGCTTCAGACAGTTCCCATCCCATACCTGTGATGAGGCCTTTGCCATTCTCGTTCACTGCTATGCCAGCTGCACGGCCCTTGAAGATGTGGTTCCCGCTGAAACGGAAGGCAAGTAAGACAAAGAGTGAGGCCAGGGTACCGACATCTGCTTCAAGACAATGCCTTCCTTGGTGGATTTCCCAATGGTTCAAGTTCAAAGGGGCATAAAGCAGCTCCTCAAGTCCTATAAGACATGAATTTAGAAACCTTTGGTTGTCCCTGGGATAGCCTGACCAAAAACTCAGCCCATGACTATATAATGGAAGCACAATGATATCCAGTTCTTTGTGGTTCCTCTTTACTGTCATCTACATATAAACATAATTTTAAATAGATGTCACCGTGCTGCATGGACCACAGGTAAAGTCTTGCTGGCATGAAGAATCCATAGGAGGCTATGCTAAGCTAGCTTGGGGGTATAGGTCATTATCTCTCAATGGCAAAAAAGATGCTATGGCCTGCCTCATCCTGGCCATTTCAGGGATCTCAAACTTCATTCTGTGTCCTTGCCCAGAGTCCTGCTTCCTATTACAAAGAAACCAAAAGGGAAAAAGCACAATATATTCTCTCAAGGTGCCTTCATTTTTTAAAAACCCATGACACTGGTCTCATCATGATATTCTTCACTCAAAACTCTGCAACAGTTCCCCAGCACCATTGCACTATAAGCACAGGTTACTTTAGTAAGCTGGGCATGGTGGCACACACCTGTAATCCCAGTGATTTGGGAGGTGGAGGCAGGAGGATCACAGGTTCAAAGCTACCTCAGCAACTTAGCAAGACCCTGTCTCTAAATAAAACATTAAAAAGGACTGAGGATGTGGCTCAGTGGTTAAGCACCCCTAGATTCAATCCCTAGTACTAAATAAATAAATACATAAATAAATAAAATAAAAATTAGTTTAATAAGTGCCTTTAACAGAAAAAAATTATCTGCCTCATAGTAATAGGAATGGATAAAAATTTTGGAATATCAAAAAAATGGAGAGTTCTGAAACCTTCCGAGTGATAAATATCAAAGCCATGCAACACCTATAATGGAATGATGCTGGGGTAAAACACCTCAGATTATACCTGCTACACATTATTGCCAGCTATTTTATTAAAGTGAAGACATAACCATGTGACTCTTCTGCTCAAAAACCTTTAAATATTCCCCATTATCTTGCCAGAAGCAATTTCCCCTTCCTCAGCCAGGACCCTTCCTGTCAGGCTCAAGCCTTTTTCTCCACCATTCCTTCCCACTGGCGGCATGGCAGACAGACTGCTGCCCAGCTATAAAAGGTCATGCTGCCATGACCCCTGGGTCCCAATTTCTTGGGACAGTCCCAATTCAATATATTCTGGTGTTCTCAAGTCACAGTGGACTGTCTGCCCACCCTTGGATCTGCTGCCTCTTGCTCATGCTTTCCCTTTGCTAGGAATGCCCACCCCCAGCTCCACAGGAGTCCAAGTCATACCTATTTCAAAGTCAACTCTAGGGCCACCTCCAATGGGAGGCCTTCCCATACATATCCTCTAGTCAAAACTATTCTTTCCTTCTCTTGATTCCACTCTGTTGCCATCTTCTCCATACTATAACAGGGATGGCAGATACAGGGTCCCAGTCCTGATACCTCTTTTCCCACCTGTGGCTCACATCACTAATGGATCCCAGCATGTTCTCATATGAGGCCGGATGTAGCCCTAGAATCTTAACACCGAGGCACTGGAGGTAGCCTCTATCAGGTGAGCAGAGTTGGCATGTGAGTGGAAATCTCTGTGCTATTCTCATCTTACACTGAATTTCTGCACATGCATGTCCTCCAGATTAGAGTAAGTGCCTGGTGAGCAGGGTCTACCCCTTGTTTACCTTTATTATCCCTTGTTAGAAGTGCTCAGTAATGTTTGCTGAATAGAATGCCTACACCCAGTTAACTGGAAGGGAGCCAGAAGCACAAGAGCAACTGTGTTATTGGGGTGGGATATGAGCAAAGTCTCTTCTTTATTTGCATCTGTACAGTTATTGTAGTGAACAAAAAAGGTTTTCAATTGGAGGAAAAAAAGGGAGTAGGGAAACAGAAAAGAGGGAGACTGTGGACTGGCCAGACAGTGCCACCTACCTCACGACTGGATTTCCGTGATACAGGATATAAATGCCAGCTTCCTTATTTGAAAAGATTTGGTTGTTCCTGATGACGCCTTTCCCATTGCCAAGGACAACAATGCCGGAGCGAAGGCCGTGGTGGATCTGGTTACACTGCAAGTGAAAACGAGACATCAGAGAAGATAGCATTGACCTGCAGCAAGAAGCCATGTGCTCAATCACTGCCATCCGACTGCCCAGGATGAACATGGTGGAGAAAAGGTCACCAACGATCCTTATCACATGGCAAAAGGATAGGACCACGCTGCTGCCCTGCTGTTCCTGCACAGGTGCATGTATGGAAACAGCGAGGGAGACGGCGGGGGTGTGTGTGTGTGTGGAATTCTCCCCCCAGCCTCTTGGATACAGTTTCACTGGTATTTATTGCTGAGGTCTCTTGGGTTCCATTTGCAAGGCAGGCTACGGAAAGTTTCTGAGCCTCTCCAGAGTCAGGGTACCACAATTGTCCACTCAGGCCTCATCTCCCATGGCCAGGAAGCCCATGTCTCAGGGAAGGGGAGTGCCCAGGGTCAATAGAATGTTAGCAGTCCAGAGGGACTATATCCAGAGAGGGGCAGGAGCCATTTGGTTTTGGTCCTCATGTCTCATTCAGGAGAAGGCCTGTGGAAGGACAGAAATGCTGGGGGAATCAGCTGTCCTGTGAGGGTCACAGGAAGTATTTGAGCTTCAGGACACTTAAAAGATATATATTTCTGATACTTTGTGTAAACAGAGAAACAGGCCAGGATTTTATAGTACATTTGTGATAGAGCTAGATCTGAAACCTAGTTTTTCTGTCTTCCAGTCCAGTTAGTTGCTTTTGTAGAAACTTAATTATATATTTTTAAATATGTATTTTTTTATTTGTAGGTGGACACAATACCTTTATTTTATTTTTATGTGGTGCTAAGGCTCAAACCCAGTGCCCCATGTGTTCCAGGCAAGTGCTCTACCACTGAGCCCCAGCCCAAGACTTAATATTTTTTACATTACAAAAAAATTACAAAAACATTGTCTCACCTTATTTCCTGAAATACAATCTCATTCTGCTCCTGCCCTTATACTGGGGATTGAATCAAGGGGCACTTTACCACTGAGCCACCTCTCCAGCCCTGTTTGGTTTTTATTTGAGACAGGGTCTTGCTAAGGTGCTGAGGGTCTCACTAAGTTGCTGAGGCTGACCTTGAACTTGGGATCCTCCTGTGTCAGCCTCCTGAGTCACTGGGATCACAGGCATGTGCCACCTTATTGGCTTAATCCCACCCTTAAAGGCTAGGTAAATCTCTTCCAAAATGATTTTATGGAGACAATGATGGAGTTTGCTTTAAAGCATTTCATGCTGCAAGCTTTCCTTACTGTCACTTACTTTCCTGACACCTCCCCCCCTCCACCTGGTGCTGGGGATGGAACCTAGGGCCTGCTAGGCAAGCATTCTACCACTGAGCTACACCCTCAGTCTTACTTTCCTGATTTCTGAAGGGTTTGGCAGACCCACAGAGGCAACCACTATCTGAGAGAAGTCCCTTGAAAGCTGACAAGCTCAGAGAGTGAGGCATATGCAACAGTATATCCACCCTCATCCCCACTCACAAAGCAAGGACTGAAACATGCTGTTCTGTTCTCTTCCCCCTCCACCTGCTAAGGTGATCTACCCCTCTTCCCTCTGCCTATAGGAAAGAGAACTCCTCTGATCTCTGGCAACAGCGATAGTAAGTTCCTAGGCCAAGGCAGTGCATCAGCCACCTGCTGTGTGACAGGAACACAGCAAGTGGAGTGGTGGACAGAGGACGCTGGCTAGTGTGTCTTTTTAAAAATAGTTAGGAATTTTCCTTTCTCTACCCTGTCATTGCCAGTCTAGATATAGTGGGCTAAGAACATCAACTGAGTCAGACTGCCTGGATTCAAATCCCAGCTGTCACTGGTTATGTGGCTGGGCAAGATCCTTTTGCTCTTTGTGGCCAGTGTCTTCACTTGTAAAATGGGGATAATGTATGTCTACTTTCCAAGGCTACACAAGGATTAAAGGAGAATTAAGTAAATATCTACACAGTGCTTAGGAAAGTATCTGGCATATAATAAACTTTACACTTAAGGTTGGCTATTACTTTTCCAAGTGCACACTTTCTGGAAATCTGTCTCTCAGGAATGCCAGACTGAAAAGGGGGCTGGTTTCTTAGATCATTGGTCAGAAATTCTAAGATTTTTAAGTGGTTTTCACATTGGTATAAAATCAAACTCAATATGTCCTCACAATATCCATGAAACAAATCATTTTCTGAACTATATATCTTACATGCCCTCTTGATTTTATAGAAAAGAAAGAAACTAATGAGGGAGTCTTTTGGGGGGCTTGTTTTTAAATCCAAGTGTCTTTTGGAGCAGACACTATGTATGTATTCTTTTTCTTTTGAGTACTGGGGATTGAACCCAGAAGGACTTTACCAAACAGTCACATTACCAGCCCTTTTTTTTTATTTTGAGAAAGGGTCTCACTAAGTTGCTGAGGCTGGTCTCAACCTTGTGATCCTTCTGCCTCAACCTCCAGGGTCAGTGGGATTACAGTCATGTCCCAAGGAGCTGGCTTTTGTGTCTGTATTCTTAAACTCAAAGCCACCCATAACCTATCAGGGCTGTTGGGAGGGCCCTGTGGAATTTCCCTGTCCATCCCATGCTCTTCTTCACTGATGGGGAAAGGGCAGGAAGCAACTTCTCCAAAGCCATTACTAATGTATGGAAAGACAAAAAGAAGCGGAGTCACAGGACACACAGAGAGGAGCAGAAACTACCTGCAAACAGGAAGCATGTAAATTCAAGACGGCAACATTGATTTAAATATCCTCGGAAAAGATTTCTGAAATCCTTGAGAGCCAGCCTGAACAGGGGAGGAAGACAGAGGAAAGTACCAGGATGAGCGGGTTGGACTTCTTCCGGATGTCCACACCAGCCTCTGCGTTGTGGTAGATGTTGTTGCCCGCGATCAGGCCTCCGCCTTCCAGGCGAAGAAAGATGCCTGAAGCTCGGCAGCGGTAAATGTCGTTCCTGAGCATGACGATCTAAGCAGAAGAGAGAAAGCCATTTACTCTCCTATCACAGGGAATTTGTTAGAGATCACACACCTCAAGTCTTTTTCTTCCCAGCTGGTCCCCACGGGTGCCTACTGTTAACCACAGGTGAGAGGAGTGCCTCCCTCCGCACCTGCCCTCCCACTGTGAGCTCCCAGGACACCTGCCTGCCTTGGCATTGCCCTGTGGGCTCTTTACCCAACACCTTCACATTGCAGCTTTACAAACTTGGACTGATGCTTGGCTCCAGGGCTAAGCTGCAAGATTGGATGATGGGATGCAAACGATGCTTACAGAAGACAGGATTCGGGGTCTTCAAGCTTTATGCACTAGGGTTGCACAAAGACTTCCCAGGGGTCCAGGGGCACAGCTGCTTTTAATGGAATCAAGTTCTAGATCTATCACTGCTATTTGTATCTTTCCAAGTATTCACCTGCCTGAGCCAGCACCAAATAAGATACCACAGATTCTCCTGAACCACCTTCCCTTCCACTTTATGAAATGATGGCTGATTCTCAATTGAAAAACAAACCAACCAACAAACAAATTACTTAAAAAAAAAAAAAAGAAGAAGAAGAAGAAGTCTACTCGTGCCTAACTTGAACCGATCTTGGTGTACTAGCTGGTATAGAAAAACCACTGAGACTCCAAACTAAGGGACAAATAGAAATACTGGTATAAGAAAGCCTCCTTTAAAGAAGGTACCAAGCTTATTTAGAGGATGTTTTCAATTATATTTTCTTCTTACATTTAGTAAGTATAGGTGGTTTTAAACAACTGTATATTAACACAATACATTATGATAAATTGTGTACTACTATTAAACAATATAATATATTAGGATAAATTTTGGGAGGAGTATAATAGAAGTCCAATTCCAAGGTGGTCTTGGATTCTTCTTATGATGGAAAAAGCTGCTCCTACACTTACAAGACAATAAGATAGTACGCACAAACATAAAAACCTTTCTGGAACTCATCAGAGAGCTGAGGGTGCAGGACAATGAGTGCCATACAATCTGGTAAGAATTCTGCTGACATTCTTAATGAATTGTTCAAGGCTAAGTGTGAGCTAGGTAAAGAGCACAGAAACTGGTGGTAGCTGCACCTATTTACTTCTCCATGGATCTCCCTGGGTGCTCATGGAGAAAGACTGGGGGAAGGACAGCAGGAGACAACTTTTTTTGGAAGTTCAGGTTTTGGGGAAAAGATAGCTGACTCTGAGAAAGGCACCAGGCCCCTCCTGGACTCTTCCCTAACTTTCCTATAACACAAGCCTTAAGTAGCTGGAATCTGGGACAAGAGCAGCAAACCCTGTGCCACCCAGTGAACAGCTTCACCTTTGGGGGCAGTGGGAGGAACCCATCTTGGGTCAGTGCCTCTGAGAGAGCAACCTTTATGCTGGGGGTGAGGTAGGGTCACTGACAAAGTCCTTTCCAAGACCTGTGGACATAGCACCTGCCCAGACTAAGGATGAACCAGGATAATAAAGAAAATCTGTCACCATGCTGGCAGGTTCACTTGTGCAGAGTGACATATAACAGCAGCCTAATGAGGTGGGGAGGATGAGAGCAAGGAGAGGCCTCTGCGGAGCAGGTGCAAAGGGAAGATTCAGGACAGACAGAACCAGCACAAGGTTGAGATAGAGGAAACTGAAGCCCACGGGACACTGAGGATAATCCAGATGACATCATCCAATTCCCTATGAGATTGATCCCAAAAGAGCAAGCAAAAGCATTTCCAAACATCAACACAATTTGCCTCGGTCTCTGCTGGCCTATTATAGACACCTGACTTCCAACTATAAATTCCAACCCGCAGGAAGGAGAACATCACAGTCGGTGCTGCTTTTCATCTTGAAACCTCAAGTGACTGGGCTCCTTCTGCCAGCCTTCACCCTGCTGGGATGCTCTAGAGTCAAATGGGCTGAATGCAGCACAGAGACAGGCCCAGTAAGCCCCACAATCCCACACAGCTCCCTGCGTCTATCATGCCGCTTAGCATGCCATTGAACCTGATGCTGGGTACGCATGAAACATTGTGGACCTTTTTTTTTTTTAAAGTTAAAAACCCCATGGGCTGGAGATGTGGCTCAAGCTGTAGCGCGCTTGCTTGGCATGCATGCGGCTCAGGTTCGATCCTCAGCACCACATACAAAGATGTTATGTCCGCCGAAAACTAAAAATAAATAAATTATTGGAGTCTTTAAAAAAACAAACAAACAAAAAAAAAAAACCCTGAATGTGGCCAGGCACAATGGCGCATGTCTGTGATTCCAGTGGGGCTTGGGAGGCTGAAGCAGGAGGATTGCAAGTTCAAAGCCAGCCTAAGCAAAAGTGACACCATATTTCTAAATAAAATACAAAGTAGGGCTGGGAATGTGGCTCAGTGGTTGAGTGCCCTGAGTTAAATCCTTGGTACAAAAAAAAAAAAAAACAAAAAAACACTGAATATATATATTTTTTTCAGGTGAAAAATACTAGAGCTTCATCAGGAATTTCTGGCCACACAACTCCTGCTAAAAGTCCCATGGAGGCAGTTGTTCAAGAGGGCTACAACTAAGGCTGTATAACTTTTTGTCTGTCCATGTGGATATCTCCAGTGATGGCCTGCACAAAGCCAAGTCCCTACACTCTGCCAGCATGTCAGTGCACATCTTTCTCCAAAGCTCCAGATCCAGACAAGATGGCACATCTGCCAGATGTCACAAGTGCTGCAAACTCAAGGTACCCCAAACCAAGCTCATGTTCTTCAAGCTCCAGCCATTGCCTCAGCTGCTTGGGCCATAAATCCAGGTCTCGTGCTCTCGACTATTCCCTGTCCCCTCCTGTCTATCTCTGGACCACAGTCATCAACTGCTTCTCATGGACCTCCTTGCCTCCAGCCTTGTTCTCCCAGTTAGTCCTCTAAGAGGTTCACGGAAGAAGCGTTTAGAAGGCAGATCTGTATATAGTTCTCCTCTGCTTAAAATCTCTCAGCAGGCTCCCAGCAAACCTCAAGGTCAACTCCAATCTTGTTGGCAAGACCTTGACTAGACTCCAGTTTCCTTCCTTGGCAACTCTTGCCAACCTCATCTCCAGTTCTGGCCTGCTGAGCGACTTGTAGCTCCTTACTTCTGGGCCTTTGTACATACACCTGGTGCCACACAGCTTCACCCTGCTAACTCTTACTCCTCCTGAATAGCATGGGCCAGGCACTGTTCCTCGAGGAAACTTTTCATGGTTCCTTGAGGCTGGACCCGATGCTCCCCTTTCAGGTCTCTTGTGCCACCCATGGCAGCTCTGTCATTGAACTTCTCACACTGGACTGTCAACACCTTTTTTTAAAAATGAGTTTATTGAGCACTTGCTATATACCAGCTACATGGCTAAGCACTTTACATATGTGCCCTATAATAATTATCCTTGCTACGCCTTGGAGATAAGTAGTATCATTAATCCAAGGGACTTTAGTGGCAGATCACAGGCATATTCTTAATAATTATGCAAGGAGGAAAGCCCTCCCTGAGGGCTTGAACCAGACCCTTTCATCATGGTGTCTAAGAGCAAAACCATCATCCTTCCTCTTTTTTTTTTTTTTTAATACATGTCTAGGGATTGAACCCAGGGGCACTTTACCACTGCACTATACCCCAGCCCTTTTTTATTTCTTTGAGATAGAGTCTAAGTTGTTGAGGGTCTTGCTAAGTTGTGAGGCTGGCCTGGAATTTGTGATCCTCCTGCCCCAGCCTCCTGAATCACTGAGATTTCAGAAGTGTGTCAACATGCCTGGCCACCCTTCCTCTTTTTTTTTTTTAAATATTTTTATTAGTTGTTGATGAATTTTTGTTTATTTATTTGTATGTGGTGCTGAGAATCAAACCCAGTGTGTCACACATGCTAGGCAAGCACTCTACCACTGAGCTACAACCGCAGCCCCCAACATCCTTCCTTTTTTATTTTACCATTTTCTTTTCTGTTTATAGTACACTTTTATGTTATGCTTTCTGGGTAATATCACCTAAAATCCTCTTTGGAAGTGGGCTGGGTAATATACTACTAAAATGCAATTGCTATTAACCATTCTAGAAGCCTGTAAGATCCATGTTTGACATTTGTACAGTGCCCTTTAGTTTACTGAGGACAATTTCTAATACTATGGCAACTGGATCCTCAACCTTAGTGAGAGAAACAAGGTAGGAATGCTTACTTCTCCTGTACAGAAGCAAAGGTAATGTGCACAGTGAATAACAGAGATGTGACACTCAAACCTAGGTGCTGGGCCATGCCTTCTGCAAGGCCTGTCTTGCACCTGCTCCTCAGAGAGGACCTCTCTCCTTACTTTCATCCTTTCCCTGCAGAAAGAAAGAAGAGCCTTTCCTGTCACCAATCGTGTATGAGATTTTTAGGCTGTCATGAAGCATCCAAAGTGCCTGCAAATGTAAGGTGCTGCTGGCAGCAATGGCTTGTGGTTTGCTCTTAGCATCAACTCCAGTGTCTTGTCAGGGCTTTCCAGGCCCTGGGTGGGGTGGCTCTTTTTTTGCCTGAGTCTTTTCAACCTGTCCCTGATGCGTGGGTGAAGTCAGTCTCACACCCAGGACCCCCAGCACAAGATGTTTCTGCTACTGGAATGTCCCACTCTGTATCCCCTTTTCATCACACATGTCCCATTTGCCCCAGAACCTTCACTCATCCTGCTCAGCCTAGACATCTCCTCTGGGAAGCCTTCGCAACTACCCTGCTCGAGTTTGCACGGAACGCTGTGATCATTTCTCCCTGAATTCTCTCTTACCTTGCTTCTTCTATTAGGACTTGGGCAACAGGTTTGAGAAGCTGTGTGATATAGTGAATGGAGGCAGAAGACCTGGGTGCTAGTCTCAGATCTGCCTCAAACTTACTGTGTGACCCTGGGCAAGACACCTTCCCTCTCTTGGCCTATTTCCTTTTCTGTGAAATGGGAAAACTTTCTGCCCTGTCCAAATCAGATGATGGACACAAAGTCCTGTGTGTGTTAATAAGATTTAGAAAAGATTATTTTTAAAATGCAAAGTAGCCCCTCACACCCTTCCTACACAAAGCCACAGGAGCCGGCTCAGCTATCAATAGTCATGTTTCTGGTGACCCAGTAAGGCTCATGTCTACACTCAGCCCTTACAACAGCACCTTGCTATTATGTATACACCGCACTGCGTAAGTCAAGTTCCGGAAGATGTTTCCTTCCATCTTGGCTCGGCCGTAGGAGCAGACAAAGACACCTCCCTTCCCGTCCCGGAACAGGCACTTGCGGATGAGGCAGCCCTGCACGGAGCTGGCCAGGGCCATGGCCTCCTTGTCCTTCTGCAGCTCCTGCTGCAGTGAGTGCAGCACCAGGCAGCTAGGCAGCTGAATGGATGCTCCTGGCAGCGGTGGGCCCAGAAAGGAGCCGCCCAGAACGGGGCGCGGGCCTTGCACTTGGTAGGAGAGTCTGTAAGTGAGCTGGTCCTCATCCTCATCCTCACCGCTAGGACTCAGGCCTCCATCGCTGCTGTCTGGTGTCTGGGCCACCCTTTCCCCATCGCTGCCCACCTCTGCCTCCTGGGAGCCAGCCTTGGAACCTGGCTTTGGGGAGCTAGAGGCTGGGCTGGTCGGGCTCTGGCTGCCTTCGATGACAATGTCACAGGTCCTTGGGCTCCAGGCCTGGTCCCGGCTCTCTAGGTCCAGGGACATTAAAAAGTCAGAATCCTCTGTGGGGAGCAAGCTGGGAGAGGACTTGATAAGCCCCAGTAAATACTTGTAGGCCCAGTTCTTATCTGCTGATGGGTGACCTTCAACTGTCACAGAGTTGTTTTCGCTGCCCACAAATTCACAGTTTTCCAGAACACACAGGGGCACGTTGTGCAGGAAGACATGGGTGTTTTTGAAGGTGCAAAACTTCACTTGGCAGGTGCCTGGGCCATGAACCTGAATGTGCCCATTCTCAAAGTTGCAGTTGTCAAACTGGACGTGACCTGATGTGGTCTGGAGAATGAAAAGGAGAAACCGGTTGTAAGAGGGCTAAGCTTTGCTTTGGTGGTCAGCTCTCCAGGTGCTCTTTTTAAGAAGAGTAGAGCAAGGAGAGGCCATGTGTTCCATCAATCATCTCCCCTTCCCTACCAGGGCCTGAGCTGGGGAACTGCTCTGCACCAGACAGGAAGAAAAACTGGGAGCTGCCTGCACTAGTTCCCCTCTGATCCCAAGGAAGTGGGACAGGAGTGGATGATGGCAGAAAAGTTCTCACTTTGCATCATGGCCTTCCTACATGTCTTCAGTGGATTCTCCTAATACTTGTGAAATGCTTAGTGAGAATTCCTCCCTCCCTTCCCTTCCCTTTGTAGTGAAAGTTGGAAGGAGGGTAAAAGCTATATCTGGAGATGCTGGGTGAGATGGAATTGACACATGTTAATAAGGGAGATAAAGCAGGAGAGGGTCACTCTGGAGAGGATCCAAAATGGTCAGAAGAGCCTTTTTTTTTTTTTTTTTTTTGAGAAAAAGGTTTATTGCTTTGCTATCAAAGGAGAAACACAAGGGACTCCTGTCCCAAAGGCTGTGATTCTGCCCACACCAGGAATGGGGGGGCTTATAAAGAGGTAATTCAAAGGCTACATTCTACGTGTTCTCTGTTGGAGTTGTAATTCACTTGTTAATTGGGAGACAGTCATTTCTGAGATCTTCTGATACCATCTCCAAAGTCTGGATTACTTGTTCCTATGGTGGGTGTGTACTCAGGGACAGATAATTCTGCCTAGGATGGGGAAGAAAGGTAATCCTGTTCCCCCTGAGATTAGGGAAAGGGAGAGATTAGAGCTCAGGAGAGCTTTGAAAAAAAATTTCGGGGGGTAGGAGGTGGCACTGTGATTTGAACACAGGGTCTCACACATGCTAAGCAAGTATCCTACCACTAAGCTACACCCTGGTCCTGAGAGATTTGAATTTTTATAAATATAGGCATTAGCTGGGAACTGAGCAAAACTTTACCAATCCTCCAAAAGGCAGGGGAGTCCCTGAACAGTGACTGGGTTATATGAAGAATGTGTCAAATCATAGGCATTTCTCCAGGTCTCACGTTCTCAAAGCGCTTTCCTTTCATTCCTGCCCTCTCTTGGGCCTGCAGGCAGGTGCCCTTCACCTGAACCTTTTGCCCTGTTGAACATCTGAACTCAAGGCCTCATGGAACCCTGATCACTGGTGGAGGAGAGCAGGCAGGAGGGCTGAGCCCTACCTGAACTGAGACAGGTGCTGGGAAAGGGTGAGTCTGTGCGGTGACTGATGGGGGCACAGCAAGACAGCAGATGGCCTCTCTAGAGAGAGGACCAAGTATGCCGCCAGAGCCAGGAAGTCCTAAGGAGTGGTTAAGAGCACAGGCTCTGGAGGGTTGACCATGCAGGACAGCTCCTGGCTCTGCCTTTCTCAAGCATGAACATGGGGCAAATGACTTCACCTCTTTAAGCCTCAATTTCCTTGTCTGCAGCCCAGGGCTTATTAGTTAATAAAGCATAAAGCACAGTGCCAGGTGCAAAGCTGGCAATAAAAGTTACCATTATTGTCTGGAGTCAGGAACACGAGGAACAGAGAGCCCTCAGGAGTCTGAGGTGGGGAGGGGAAGCCCTGAACCCACAGCATAATTCATCTGGGCCTCTTGGCTCCAGGCCTCACTGAGAGGCAAGCTTGGCAAGACCCAGTTGCTTTATATTTCTGGGGGTGGGGAGACCTGTTTCTGGATCTCAAATACTATCAGATGCCATAAAATGAAGGAGGGGGTGTCTCGTGATTCCATTTAACAGTCCAGCCACACCTATCCCTTGAACAATCTTTAAAATTCTCTAGCAGTGGCCTCCCTTGAAAGCTTGTCCCAGAGCTGAAGTCCCCTTAACCTCTCCAAGTCCTTCCTTACAGCTAACTTATTTTTTTCTAGCTGCAATTTAAGTCCATCTTGTCTTCCTTGATCCTTTCTAAGGATAAAGGCCAGTGCTCTGGAGATGCACAGCCACTGCTAGGGTCCTCGGGTTTCACTGCAAACTGCTGAGAATAGTCCTAGTCTTTGCTTTTTTTAGGAAAGGCCATTTCAGGCCACTGTGCCTCTTTTATGCAAAATACTATCATGGACTGAGCACTAATTCACGCCAAGCACTAAGCCAAATGGTGGGCCACCCAGAGGCCCAAGGCCAGGCTCTTTCCCTTGAAGGCCTATGGCTACACTGCTGAGGGGGAAGCAGAGACTGAAATTAACATATTCTTCAAATAATTAATATATTATGAAAATGAGGGGTCTGGAATATTGTTTCTAGACAATGTCCCCTTTCCATGTCTGTGGACCAGCACACGGGAAACATATCAGACCTCAGAGGACTGTGTGTATAGGAATAGCTATTGAACTCTCAATTCTAACAATTCTAACAGTCCTTATAAAACATTCTAGAGTCAAAAAAGCAGGATTTTAAGCTTTCAAGGAATCCAACATGATGTGATTTTATAAGTGCTTAGATCAGGAGGCCCAAATTTGAGCTCTAACCTCACTAATTAACCACCTGAGAAAGTTACTTAGCATCTTTAACCTCTAGTACCCCTCATCTACAAAACGGGGACACCACATCTACTCTATCTGCCACAATGTTTGTTGAGGGGATCAAGTGAGGCCATGGATGGAAAGTCACCTAGATTATAAATACGGGTTTTGGATCCTAGCTGTCCCTACTGAGTCTGTGACCCTGGGTATATCACTGAATCTTGTTGAGCCTCAACTTCCTTATCTATAAAATCAGATGACACTACCCATCCCATCAGACTATAGGGAAAGTAAGTGAGATCACGGCTGTAAAGCCCATACCGAGTGCACATCAAGTGCTTCCTAAATGGCTGGTGGTATAATGACCATTACAAATGCAAGAGACAAGCTACTAATGGTAGTAATAGGGGAAATATAATTTTTACCAAATAGGTACATAATCCAAATATTGCAGAAGGTAGGCAAGACATAAGCTGTAGACTGTTGTGCCAGGAACTACCAATGCCTTCATACATGCTTTGCTCTGAACACATCTGTGTGTTCATGGAAGGAATGTGTTGGAATAACATTTCCTGATCCCTTCTCCAGTCACCCTTGAGAAGTAGCCACTCCTGGTAAAAGCCTGACTTTCCTTGACCTGCGTAGGGCGGGGTGTTCATGTGTTGAGATTTGCTGCCCCTGCATGACCTTCTCTCTGGCTCACCCGCTGCCATGAGCAGCTAGCTAATGAGTTCTCTGCTTCCTCTCACCATGTTGCAGCCTGGCTTGCCCACCAGGCTACTCAACCTGTAGCTCCAGAGAATCTAGTTGGAAAGGGAACAGCAGTTTTGACCCCAAAGCCAAGGCTCATTTTCTAATACAGCTTTGATGGGGATAAAACTGTGCCCATTTCTCAATGGGTTCAGACCTCAGAGGACTGTGTGTACAGGAATAGCTATTGAACTCTCAATTCCAACAAAAATTGAGAAGAGGCCATGCCCCTGAGTTCAGGGCTGGATGGCATCTACTGGATGTGACACCCACCTTATACATGATGGGTGAGAACCAAGCTGGCATGAAGATGAGGTTGCACAGGCGTGTGGTTGAGCAGTGCTGATCAATGCTGGCTAGCAGGGCCACCTCACCCAACTTGCCATGGCCTACAATCTCCACAGGCACCTTCAGGATGATTTCACCTTGCTCTTCGTACACACCTGGAAACAGCACAATTCGGTCATACAGGCTGGCCATGGCCAAGGCGCTGCCCAGACTGTCAAACTCATGGCCTGGCCCGACACTTAGGGTGCGTCGTTCCCTCCTCCTGCGGAATAGAGAAAAGCAGACAGAGGACTCCAAGTCCAGGGCATTCTTGGTCCATGTCTTGGAGGCAAGGTAATGCTGCTTGAAGGCCTCCCGCCAAGACTCGGGCTCCACATCAGGCTGGTTGGGCCAGTTGGGATGGCGGCACTCCGTACAGCCTAGGCACAGCTGCCGCCAGCGAGTACTGTCAAGACTGAGGATCAGTTCATACCAGGCCCTGCACACCAGGCTGCAGCGGCCCAGATCAGGAAGGTGCAAGTAGGCTAAGATCATGCGCCACAGCTCCAGGGGCAGGCCTCCAGCCTCCATGGTCACCTGGAGAAAGACACAAAAGAGAAGAGGCTTTTGTCTACCCTGTTTACCTTTCCCCTTCATAACATACCCCACCATCTCCCTAGGGATGAGCGAGTGAACAAGGCCCAGCCAATCAAAGGACCCCATTCCTGCGATCAGAATCCTTCTCTGACCAAGTGTTAGAAGGAAGACTCTTTTCTCTTTGGTCAGACACTTTAAGGATATGACTCCAGAACTGCTGGCAGCTAGGTACCCCTCTCCATGGAGAAAACCTTGTGGAATGAGAGCGAAGCAGAAAAGAATAGAGATGGAGGATGAAAAGTGAAAATGAGTATGAAAAAAAGGTGAGTACACTTGTATGTGTCTGGAGGTGCCGAGTACAGATTCCTAAAGATGCCCTCACATCTACGGTTCTTCCTTCAATCTAGTGAGGGGCTCCAGTGGCCTTCCATAAATCCCCTTTATGCTAAAACTAGTTTGATTTGGGTTTCTGTGACTTGTAACTGAAAGGGTTTGGATTCATAGAGAGGGAACCTACCTTTGGCTCTGATGGTCCTATGGGTGTGGATCCCTTAGGTTCCCTGGGAAGAGACTACTATCTCTTCATTACCAGTAGGAAGAAGAATGGAATCTGTCTGTTTCTCCTCATTCCCAGACCAAATCACTGCTACTGTTTTCCATGTGGGGCAGCCCCTGGAAAGACTGTGTGGGTTTTGGTCCTGGCTCAGTCACTGGTTACTGATGTAATCCTAATGTCCTAAACATTTAGTAGGCTGGCTGCCCAGCCATCTGCCTCCTTGCTTACTCTGGAAAATATCCTTCTCTCTTACTGATTTATACCACACAGTTACAGAGGCTTCCTGAAGATGTGTGTACAGAAAAACGATACCCCAACTCCTAAGCTGCAACTGATTGGCTGCAATTGATCCAAATGGCTCTTCGAGACTTCCAAGAGAATATGAGGTGCTATTCTAAAATCAGGGTAGTTTCCTTCCTGAATGATGGGAAATGGATGCCTTCTTTCCTAAGCTATAAACTCAGGAATAGGCTGAGCTTGGTGGCGCACACTTGTAATCCCAGAGACTCAGGAGGCTGGAGGCAGAAGGATTGAGAGTTCCAGGCCAGCTCTGGCAACTCAGTGAGACCTTGTCTCAACAAACAAACAAATGGGCAGGGCTGGAGGTTAGCTCAGTGGTAGAGCACTCCTGGGTTCAATCCCCAATTCTGCCAAAAGTAATAAATACACAATATTTAAATAAATACAAATAAACTCAGAGATAGTTGCTGGTGATCATTTTTCCCTGAGATGGGAGGCAGAAGTGGGTCTATAATGAGAGAAGAATGAATCAGAGACACAGAAAAAAAGCCGAGAAAAGAGCAGAAGCATTCCAGTTTCTCTGGAGCAGGCCTCGCCTCAGTCCTCTCCCCAGAGCTCAGCTTTATCCTTGCCCTTTGAATGCCATCGGGTCTCTTTGCTCTTATAATAGATTCTCCTTTTGGCAAAGCTGACCTCATTGAATTTCTGTTCTTGTACCTCGAGCCCTCTTGTTTATTTTTATTTTCTTTGTGGTGCTAGGGATCACACTTGGCCTGACATGCTAGGCAAGTGCTCTATCTCTGAGCCACACCCGAGGTCCCTCTCACTTATGTGTCAACTTGCCCATCTGAAAACCAAAAGGGTGGAGGAGACAGATGACCTAGAGAACTTGTTAGCCTGTTTCTAGACAACTGGAAATAAGAACTAGAACAGGGTAGGCTCCACGACTGACCTTCTGTCAAACGGCTTTCCTCCCCAGGGCCTTGCTTTTCCTCTCAGTTTTCTGAAAATGGTGCTCATACTTATCAGGTCTCTAATCCCAATAAGGTTAGAAGCACAAACGTGTGAACACATCTGGAAGAAATGCTCAGCTTCCTCAAGCCTGGTGTGGCTTGAACTCTACAGGTTAGTACTAGAGCCTGGGCATGGAGGCTCCTCTGTCATGGTCACTTTTTACCAGGTCCTCAGCAGCACTGGAGAAAAGCTGGGCTCTGCACTGTTACACTTCATAGAGAAAGACCATTCCCCTAGATAAACGCCACTTTACTCATGGTGGTTCTGTGATACTGATATCTCCCGTCCCTCACTTCTTTCTTTAGCTGTATTGTCTTGGTCATTTTAAGAGAAAAACATTCTTTTATCCATTTCTGCATCAATTCTGTAGCTGAGTGATCATATCCATCTCCTTAGCTTCCACTACCACTGTACATGTATGACTACAAAATCTGAATTTCCAACCCCAGATGTCTCTTTCGAGTTCCTTAGGGGAATGCACAATTTCCTGTTGGGCATTTCTACTTGGCTATTCCAGAGATTAAAAATAAATAAATAAATAAAATACAAGGGGAAAAAATCAACATTATGTCCAAAACTGAACTCTGACTTCCATGTTAGGTTATGACAAAATAGTTGGAACTGGAGTCCCCCTCTGCCATAAACAATTATAAAGCTGGATAAAATATATGAGGCAACTGAATATACACTCAGGCACTGGGCAATGAGCTGCTCAGGACCACGATTTTTGAGAAAAAGAGAAGGTGGGAGGTGAGTGCCACAAAGGCCTTTTCATCCGGGGCACTTTCTTACTGTGGTGGGGAGAGATGGAGGCTGAGCAGAGTGGTGGTCTCATTGAGCGGCAGATTTGAGTTCTGAGCTGCTGAAGAGACTGGTGTTTGCAAGGCAAGGTACCAGACCAGAGAGAGCAGCACAGCCGGGCTGCACATGTGCAGGCCAAGAATGCATGAGCCCTAGTGGAGACGGCCTGGTATGGGGTTGAGAACCAAAAGGTGAACCTTAGAGGTCATGCAGAGCTGGGAGACAATGGAATTCTAGCCCAGACAATGTGGAGAATTCATTTGGAGTCTCAGGAAGAATTGGCCATATTCTAATTCAAATCTGAAGAATAAAAGCAGGCCTGCTGGGGATGTAGCTCAGTGGTAGAGCACTTGCCTGGAATGGATGAGGTCCTGAGTTCAATCCTTAGCACTGCCAAACCAACCAACCAACAAATGTGCAAAACCAACCAACAAATGGATACAATGACAACAAATATAATTACTCCTTCTCCCATCAAAACAACAACAAAAACTATTAGAAAAAAAAAGCCAGCCTGACATATCAAAAGGTTCTGCCATTGATTTTACCATCTGTAGAATGAAACTGAATGAACACTCTTTGAAAAAAAGAAAACAAAATCTAGATACCTTCAACCCAACAGCCAGAAGATATACTTGAATATGGCCTAGAAAAACAGAGTTCCAAGTAGAGCCACACATGTATCAGTCAACTGAGTTGGAAAAGGGTCAATGTAATTCAAGGGTGAAAAGCCTTTCAATAAAAAGCTCAATATTCACAGATAACAATTTGGTATCTGTATGGGGAAAAAATGAACCTTGACACATACCTCAGACTATACAAAAACCAACTCATGATGGGTTGTAGACCTAAACATTAAAGCTTGTAAAACTTCTAGAAGAAAACATGGGAAAATAAAATTTTTAACTCCCGGGTAAAGAAAAACTAATAAACCAGTCTATCAAAATTAAATTTTCTGTTCATCAAAAAATACAATTAAGAACAAGAAAAGACAAGAGAGAAAATGGGAGCAGATATTTTCAATACACATATGGGACAAAGGGCTTGTATCCAGAATGTTAAGAAATCGCACACTCAGTAACCAAAATGTTCAAAAAAAAAAATAGGCAAAAGATCTGAACAAAAGTTTCACAAAAGAAAAATAAGCAGCCAATAAATTCATAAGCTCAAATCATAGTATTCATTGTAGGTTGAGCATCCCTTATCCAAAATGCTTGGGGCCAGAAATGGTTCAGATTTTGGAATATTTGCATAAACTAATGAAGTATCTTGGAGATGGGCTCCAAGTTTAAACATGAGATTCATTTATGTTTCATGTCTTAGAATCTGAAAATAATTTATGTAATATTTTAAGTAATTTTATTCATGAAACAAAGTTTTGTGTTCTGGAATTTTCGACTTGTGGCATCATGTTGGCATTCAAAATTTTGGATTTTTAGATTGGGGAGCTGAGACTGTAAAACCATAATGAAATGCCACTTTGTATGCACTGAAATGGCTAAAATTAAAAGTACCCAAAGCATTGAACTAGCAAAGATGTGAAGCAGCCAGACAGACCTCTCCATCACTAGTAGGAGTATAAATTACTAGCATCAATTCAGAAAACTGGCACTTTCTTCTACAGTTAATGGAATTCCATTCCTAGATATTTACACATAAAAATTAAAGCACGTATTTCCAAAAAAATCCCATACAAAAATGCTTACAGCAGCTTCAGTTATAATAATAAAACAACAAAAAACTGGAAACAACCCAAATGTTCACCAACATAATCCTGGATAAATAAATTGTGATGTATTCATGACAGAATACTATACAGCGATAAAAAGGAATGAACTACCGATGCAGGCAATAATGTGGATGGAGGTCAAAAACACGTTGGGAGCGAAAAAAAGCCATTCACAAAAGACTAAGTATTCATGTTATAATTCCATTTAGGTGAAGTTTAAAAACAGACCTAACTAATCTATGGTGATAAAAATCGGAACATTGCTTGCCATAGGGTCTTGAAGACAACTTTGGAAGTGAAGGAAATGTTTTATATCTTGATTGGTATATTGGTTACATGGGTGCATATGTTTGAAAAACCCTCACTGATAGTATGTTTCAAAATGTGCAATCCATTGTATGTGAACTTCATCTCAGTTTTATTTTTTTGGTACTGGGGATACTTTAACCATTGAGCTATGTTCCCAGCCCGTTTTTTCCTTTCCTTTTCTTTTTTTAAAAAATATTTATTTTTTAGCTGTAGATGGACACAACACAATGCCTTTATTTTTATGTGGTGCTGAGGATCGAACCCAGGTCCTGCCCGTGCTAGGCGAGCGCTCCACCGCTGAGCCACAATACCAGCCCTTCTTTTTCTTTTTTTGGAGACAGGGCCTCAATA